ACGTAGCCAGGTCCTGTTCCGAGGAGGCCACCACAAAAATGTTATCTGACCAACTGAGGAGTGCAATCCTGAAGTCAAGTCTCAACTGTTCGCAGCGAATTGCGATTCCCAGAGAAGAGTGTGAGATTTTTTCCAAAGTGGCGGCGAAGCAATCTTCGACCGAGACGCGCGCAAGAATGCAAGCTGTCCCAGCTCCTTGCATCAGACCACGGTCTCTTTGGATAACCCCAGTGTTCGAATCCATGAGAGAAATGGAAACTCGAGGGTTCCTATGCAGCCTGATACAGCCAACTGCTAAGAAGAAAGGTACTCCTCGTCCCAACAAGCTGCGTAAAACCATTCCGTAACGAATCTGATCGTGGTGTGCTTTGATATCGGTAATCCCAACCATTCCTTTGTTAAAGTGATCTCTCCCATATTCTAAAATGTGATAGACACTCGTATGAAGTTCTTGCAATTGCCCACCTTTGCTCAGCCCGAAAATCAGGCCTTTGAGACCTTTGGAGTCGGTATATGAATCCAAGACTGGAATAATGGCCCTCGCAACATATGCGTGCCCAATTTTGGCAATGGCGGGCTGAGGGATAACAACTCTAGTTTGAGAGGGTGTTCCAAAACCCTTGATCTTGTTACCAAGATGGCCCCCGAGCGTGACGTTGTTCCAGAACTCTGGGTTGCCTAGGCAGGCTTGTATACACCCCTTGAGCCTCTGGGACCAGCCTGAAACTTTGATAATGGCCGTGCAAGCAAACTCTGTGTCGATCTTGCGAGGGGCCTTGATGTCATCCAGCGCGTCCTCCAGCAAGGACGGGATGATGGGGTCTTCGTAGTAATTGAAGAAACCTAAAGTCCGAAGCCAGGCAGTGTCCTCCTGGCGTTCCAAGTCAGATAATCCCCACCTCTCTCTGTATTCTTCCGCAACTAATGTGTTGCAGCGATCCACGTCAAAAATCTTGACTTGATCCACACAGAAACCCAGAATTGGAAGAAGCGACTTGCGTGAGGCCCAAACACGCCTTCCTTGGGATGCGTTGAGCGCCACCTGAGCCAAATCACGCTGGAGTTTCGTTATCTTGAGGGCTTTCAAGAGTGTCTGACCCACAGCGACCCTCGATGCTTCGTTGAGTTCGGAGTTAAATCGCGTCCTGAGACTCTTGACCCAAAATGGCTCTTCGGCGAATCTCCTAAAACTCCTAGGGGGGGCCTGTGTCGCTTCATACACCTGTCCCAACAAGTTTTCCCTGAAATCGAAAGAGAGAGTAAGGTCCTCAGGATCGTGGTACCTTACCGCACAAGATTCAGGTTGTTCATCATCATTCAGACGAGACAGTTCTGCTGATTCGGGGAAAAGACTCTGGGCAATCTTCCTGACCTCCAAAATGTTTGTAGGGGTCCAAAGGAGCGGTCTTCTCTTGGGGGCCCGCTGGGGAAAGGCCAGGACATCACACCCGACGAGGGCATGGTCCCCAGGTACGCCAGCCCAACAGGCGAAGCAGTCAGAGGAAAGGTCACCCCTGGCGAGAGCAATGTGATCGATCGTGCTGCTGGCTTGAGAGAACACCTGATCACCGTCGGGCTTCCTTGTGAATTGCATAGAGACCTCCTGGAACCTGAGAGGGCACCAATGGAGGTCAAGGTAGGAGCAAGCTTCGCAGAACGAAAGGAATTTCTGGTCTCCGTTTCCTTGATCTGCGTTCATGTCCCCCAACCAGGAGAGGGTGGATCCGACAGGGCGGGATCGACCGAGTTGGATAGCGCAATTGAGAGAATCATGGAAAAAATCATGGGCAAGATGGGAGAAGAGAAAGGATCTGGCATGATGGTGGCAACCATCGAGACAGTCGGGACGAAGATCAACACGGATAGATCTCCAATCACAGACAATGTCTTTCACACGTTTTCTCAGAGATTTGTGCACAAGCACGCCCATGGCCCTACACCCAGGGCCAGGATGATGACGGTAGTAGGCGTGGCCGTTGAAAACGGGGCGAAGAAGCCCATCGTTTTGAAGGCAACCCCTGAAGTCCGCCTCTAGTATACAAATTAAGCCCCAGCACTTAAGCTCGAGCAGATCTAGGTTGGCTTGCATAAGGGTCTCATCTGCCCACTTGCCTTGCACGTTGAGTGCACAAACAAGGCCCCTCACGTAGGCGTCTCAAAGAGAGAGAGCCTCGTCAATGGTGTCTTTCAGCGTCTTACGGAGCTCTTCGTCGGGGATTTCCTTGAAGGACTCATGCCACTGAAATTCCCCATCCTTTATCCCACCAATCTGATGGTCTAAGACATAAAATTTTCGCGTCCGTGAGCAAATGACGTGATCACGGTCTCCCACTGCTTTCTCCACTGCACTGGAGACTGTCTTGAAAAATTTGGCAGGGCCTCGCTCCTCCTTCGTACTGATTTGTCCACGCCAGATCTGATTTTCTAGGTACCCAGGAATCTTGAGATCACGGATCGTGGCTGCCGCTTGAAGCCCTACCGACACCGAACTCCACTTAATCTCAACGCAGCTCCCATATCCGAAAGGTGCAACGATTTGCGTGGGCTGTGGAACATCTGCTCTGCGTAAGACCGCTCGCGCCTTTTCCAAAGCCTCCTGTTTTTTGAGATTCCAGCCCAAGTTCGTAAGAATGAAAATGTCTCTGTCTGCCCTCGGGGTGCTTGCCCAAGGCGGACCTTTTCTTTTGGACGGACCCTGACTTGACTGGCTTTCCAGTTGCTTAGCCGCCATTTCTGCGCGCAGAGCCTTCTGCTCTAGTTCGACCGCCAGAATCCTTTCGTTGAAAGCTTTCTGAACTTCCGTCTCACCTGCCTCCATGTTGGCAAGCTTCACCTCATGATCATTGATCAAGGTAACCGCAACCGAAAACTCCTGGGCCAGAGCCTTTTGGGTTCCCAGTACATCCATTTGAAGGGAGTCAATTCGATCCTTGATGGGAGCGATCTTTCGGTCGAGGAGTGATTCCAGTTGCCCCAAGAAGGCGTCCGTTCCTGAGGCTGTTGAGGCAATCCCAGAAGAGCTTGTCCCATTTTCTCCCAAACCTGTACCTTTCGCCGAACCCTTGGCGGCCAATGTCCTCATGGCCTTCGATGTATCTTGCTGATTCTCTTTGTCTTCGTCCGCAATCCTGACGTCGTCTCTCAGCCTTTTTTGTTTGTCTATATCAAGACTCAAAAGTTTTTGCATTGTTTCTCCTATCTGAAGTGCCGGCGGCATGGCTGAGGAGTACAATTGAGCTCCAAAGCGTCCCACTCTAGAATGAAGTGAGGCGCCAAATTAACCTTAGCAATAATAATGAGATCCCACTGATAATTCCCACCAATGAAAAGAAATCCCACCGCTAAGAGAAAATCCCAATAGTTGAATGCAGCAATTGAACCCAGATTGAACCACTGATCCCACCGCGCCGGCGCAGGCAGCTATGGCAGCCGCGTCCCCACCGCGGCCGCGCCCCCCTTGAGCCTTGAGCCTTGAGCCTTGAGCCTTGAGCCAAAGGAGGAGGAGGAGGAGGCATGCTCAGCGAAGTCGAGCTTCGTCGCCATCGCCATCTCGGCTGCACGAGAGGCGGGGCAAGAGCAGCCTGCGGAGAGCGCCCTGCAGCGGTGGGGGGGCGAGAGGGGGGGGCAACCCAAGCGCACAAGCCGCCAGAAATCCACCCCATAATAAGCACCACGACAAGCGAAGCCGCTGAGTAAACGCACCTTGGGATGGAATCGAAAACGGCAGGGCTATTTAGTAAACCCCCAAGGCCGCTTACTAAACGCCAATTGTAGGGTTCGGGTGGTTCTTCCTCCCTTGACCAGGTAAGCGCAAACCTGGGTCAGCCAAAGCCCTGCCGCGAACCTCAGCCAGCTGCTCAGTAGCTCCCAAACTCCGGCCAGTGGAGGGCGAAAAGGGGGATCGGCTCCACGGGTTCCAGAGACCTTTAACCTCCCCCCCAAAAAAAAATATGGAGGACATGTTTTTGTTTCCGCGGGCTTGCGCCGGCCTTCATCAGTTTACGCCGGCGGAGGCACCCTCGCTTTCCTGCCGCCGACCTTCCGCCGACCTTCTGCCGAGGAAGAGATGTCAACTCCTCGGAGCCTGGAAGGCGAGACCCTCTCCCAGACCCCCGACGTCACGATTTTTTCGTGACGTCGACCCCCAGAGGTCTCGGCCCGTTCCCCGGGACCGGTTTTTCATCCCGAATTGTTTTTTCGCATTCCCGAAGCCCGGCGAGGGCCCCCAGAGGCTGAAAATAGCGAAAAACCTCCCGTCGTGATCTCTGTCATGACTCGAGGGGGTCTGGATCTGGGAGAGAGCGTGATCCACCGCCGCTCTACTGTGGAAAATTGCAAACCTTTTCCTCCGGAACCCGGGGGTCGCCCCCCCCCCCTCCGAAAATCCCCCCCCCTGCTGGAACCCCCTCCTCCCCCCGCCCCTCCCCCCGGCAAAACCCCCCCCTCCCCTACCCCCCCCCCCCCATGTCAGTGGAGCGTGCTATTCCACGGATCTCAGCCTTTCGCTTCGAGATGTCCTCACAATCTGAAAGGGGCCTGAACCTATGTCCACGAACGTGTCCTAAAGACGAGTCCAGGATGCCCCAGGGTCGGCGGAGGGCACGCAGTGGCGGAAGATTGGCGGGATGGCGAGAAGAGAAAATAGATACTCCGTTTAATAATCAATCCAGGATATCGCGTCTGGTCCCCCTGAGCTCCAGACCGAGGTGATATACTGTAAATCACCACACAGGCTAGCAAACAGCTTGCGCCAAAGTTGCTATGGACGAAACAGGCACATGGGCTCATTCACTGAGGGTTGCTCTCCCTCTCTGTTCTTACTGCACCTGTTTCACTGCTCCCCCACTGAAATTGACATGCCCCGAACCGTCAGTGAGAGTCCTCAGTCTCTAGCTCAGGTAAGACACTCCATGTGTAGTCCATCGTGTCTAACTCCATCTTTATTGAGGCGTCGCGTCTTCCATCATCAGACGTCGCGCCCCTGGGTGTCGGTGGTCTGCCACGATCTCCGACTCCGTCTCGATCTCCAAGTCATCCGGATATAGTTGCCACGCATCATCTTCATCCACTGCGAAGAACGTATCCTGGTCGAGAGTGTCCATGCCTTTCTTCTTTCTGGTTTTCTCCGAAATGAAGTTCGCGTCGTAGATCAGCTTCCAGCTTCCTCGTTGTTGCCACAAGTTGTAGCTCGCTCTCGCCTTCTCGGAGTTCTTCGCCATGCAGTCGCTCAGTTGCGCGCTGCTGTGACACCACCGCAATGAAGTTGCTGTCGCCGCCATGCCTCTCTTCAGAGCCAGGGCTTCCAGTGCGCGCCTCTTGTCCTTCAGGCCCAGCGCGCTGCTCTCCGACTTGTCCAACGCATCGAACACGCCACTGCAGTCCAGTACGAGGGCTCCTGGAATCTTCGCACATCCGGTCGCCCACTGCTTCAGAGGTGTCGGTCCACCAGTCTACAGAATTCCAGCTCCCCCTGCGCCTCGCTGGCCGCTTGTACTTCTGCCGCACTCGAACTCCTTCCTGCACACTCGAGGTAGCTTCGCGAACGCCCATGCTATTAGTGAAATCTGCGCCTCCTTATTATGCATTAGGTTGCACTCTGTCATGAAGATCAGGAAGCCTCCTTGCGACGAACCATCTCGTCGAACATTCCAGGCGGCATCCGGATACCCCACGATACAAGGGTTGAGATGGTTCTCCATGATCAACTCCTTCTGGACCTCTGTCTTCGCTCTCCGAATCAACTTGTTGGCCTGCAAGAGCGCGTTGATGGCGGCCGTGTTCGTGTACGCGAGTAGCAAGGACAGCTCTGCACATATCAGAGGTACTCCTTGAGTCGCCAGCCACATCAGTTGTCCTAGGATTGCTCGAAGTTGGGTGGCTTCGCTCGGCGTAACCGCTGACTCGATGTCCTTGCGGCGCTGCGGCGGTATGTCGATCTCCTTCAGCTCCTGCGCGTAGTCGACCATGTTGAAATGAATGCGTCCCCAAGTCTTCGTACGACCGTCGTACTCCTGTCTGATCAGAGCCCCACACTGCACAAAATCTTGAGTCTCCCAGCTGCCCCACTCGTAAGCTTGATGAAGTCGTTGAAGTGCGTCGGTGGCAAACTTCGATGCATTGTCGACCGCATTCATGAAGTCATCCACGTGAGCTACTGCCAAGCCGCACAGCTTATCACTCTTGCCACGGAGGTACCATAGGCACGCCTCAGTAATGGACTCGACCCATCCAAGTTTCTCCATGCCCCTCCTCACTCGTGACCACCAACGTCTAGGCGCGTTCACTAGGCCATAGACTGCCTTCTTCAGCTTGATGCACTGGTGGTGTTCCAGCCGCATAGCTTCCCGCAGCTCCTTCACAGGCTCTGCAAGGACGTTGCAATCTTCTTCTCCAAGATCTCCTTGGAGAAATGCGGCCTTTACGTCGCCCTTGAACACCTGGAACCCCATCGAAGCTGCCACTCCCAAGACCATCTGTCTCGCTCTGCGGCTGCACGTTGGTGATGCGGTCTTGATCTGGCCCAGGCTAGGATCAGTATATCCCAGTACGACGAGTCGGGCTTTCAGGCCCCACGATTCTTTCCGAGTGATGACCCAACCCATCTTCATCAGCGCTCCGGAATGTACTCCTGCTCGACAAGCTGCCTCGCAGACCTTGTACTTCATGAACGACTTGATGTTGTTGTTCTTTGCTGCTGGCAGTTGACTTTCTCTTCTGGAGTAAGGTTATTCAGCTTCACTTCTTCTTTATTCTGCTTCACCGAGGCTGCAAGAGCTTTCTCCGGCTTCTGATACAGCAGGTCCACGTCATTCTCCTCCACCTCGAGTGCCACAGTGACTGCCAGTGCTGAAGCTTCTTCTCCGACGTGACCTATCAGATTCTCTTTTCGTAACTTCTTGGTGGATTCCCAGGGAGTCTTCCATTCTTCTGACTCTCCTCCTTCGGGTTCCTTTCGCAAAGTGTCCTGCAGCGCAACGAATGGCACCTTCTTGTTATGCTCTGCCAGATAGCCTATGAAGTCAGCTCGCTGACGTTTTACCTCACGATCATACGGAGGTTCTGTACTGGCCTCGCGCTTATTGATTCCTTCCGGTGGTGGCTCGCTGTCCCATTGAGTTGGTCGAGCTGGTCGCGCAGATGAGTGTTCACCAGCCTCCTTTTCGTCTTGAGATGCCTCACCTCCGTGCTCTTCATCTCCTTGACGAGGTCCTGGGGGAGATTCCTCTTTTTCGCAAAGAACTTCCTCTGCTTGGGCGGCTGGTTCGTGATCTGCAGGTGGTCCGCTTCCAGGCTGCTCGTCTACGTCGCCTTCTGGGATATCGCCCCATTCGTCAGGTCCGGCTTGATCCACTATGTCGTCGAACGAGCCCTTGGTGAGTTCCTGCACTATTTTCCTGAAATGATCTGAACTTCCTGCAGATATGTTCTCCAGCGTCTGCTCTGCCTTCGTAGTAGTACGTAGGTGTGCTGAAGCAGCTCGTACCAGGCGATCTCCATCTACCAACCAGGCTATTCCTCCGCGCTCGCAAGCTCCATTCTTCATCTCGCGCTCCTGCATGAGTACGGTAGCTGGCCCGTGAAATCGTCCAGCCAAGCCCTGCTTAGTCTTGTGACTGTTCCCTTCGGAGCTTCTCCAGTAGTGGGCTTTCTCGCCTGGTTCCCACGTCTTGAACGGCCGCGTCTTTGCCAGCAGCGCCCTCCTTGTCTTCTCCGACAGGTAGTGGTCTACACACGCCTTGTACGCTGCTTTCTTAACCGCGGTGAGGTCCTGGTAGTTCTCGTCAATCAGGTGAGTGCTGAGCACCGAGGGGTTATCTTCGTCTTCTAGACCGTGCCCCGATGGGGCACGACCCATCATCAGCATGAGCGGACTGTATCCTTTGTGGCGCATCAGGTCGTTGTTCGCCGCACACGCCCACGTGAAAATCTCGTTCGGGCCGGTGTCGTCTGGGAGCTCCCACGCGATGCGATTCGCAATCTCCTTGATCATCTCGATGCCCCTCTCGATCACGCCCATCCTCCAGTGAGCTTCACCTGGTTCTGGTCGCCACTCGATGCCGTTGCCTGACATCCAAGCACGGTGCTCAGCTTGGCGGAAACAACCTTCCGGGTCGGTGCGAAGTACTTCTGGTTTCCCATAGTGCTGAATCCACGTGGTGAGAACCATCTCCTTCATCTCCTTGGCCGTTGCATTGCCGCAGCTCTCCAGCACATCCTTCTTGGTGAGGATCTGGCATTTGGCGAAGCCGCTTCCGTAATCTGCGCATAGCGCTCCACGGATATGATATGCTCTACGAGGATGAGTCCAGTAGAAGTTATTGCAGCCCAGCTCCTTCCCTGGCGGTGCCACCGATGGTTCGGAACTCGCAATCGGCCGCAGTTGAAAGCGTTGAGCTGCCTCACAAGAGGGACATTCGTAGTGGCTGCACAGGTCGATGATCTTCTGATTGGCTTTCCTGCTCTTTAGTGCTGCCCCGACTGTCCTCATGCTGCAGCGCCCGAAGTTGCGATGTACATGTGCTATGACAGCCTCCAGATCCCTGATCTCTCGCTTGGAGCACCCTTGCACGCTTTTCGGAAGTGGTAGTCGGAGGTTTCCTACTGAAAGAGCTTCACTTCCTTCTTCGGGTCGAACGTCGCTCTCGTCCTTCCCGGCGCGGGTCTCCTCCTCGCTTGCTGGATCATCTCCTTCTGGCTCCTGTTGTTTTTCTGCTGGTTCCAGGCGTCATCGCTTGGGTTCCCGTAGCTCTGGACCATCTGTGTCCGCTGGTCACTTCGTCGTGTACCTGTGCCTTGCGGCAAATACACTCTGTTCAAGCTCATTGTGTACCTTCACGAGAAAGTTTAGAGCATCGTCGGACGAGGGCTCGATCAAGAAGTGCTCGGCAATCTGCTTACACATGTTCACGGGGTAGTTCGCTGAGAGTGCCACTCGAGTGCCCCCTTCCAGAGGTAGAAGATTTTGACATACTCTCCCAACGGTATCGCCGAACTTCTCGTCCGATGTCGCGATGCACCACCCCTTTTTCAGCAGCACGCCTTCCTTCTCGCCCCTCATGTCGCACATGCATCCATGGATGATGGCACCAATGAGCTTCCTGCTTATGTCCTTGAAGTTGCCTGTCCATGATCTGCATTTTCCTGGCTGCTCTAAATAGATGTCTCCGAAGTCTTTTTCTTTGAGCTTGTTGATCACCCACAACAGGTTTCTCTGAATCCCCCTCGTCTCAATCAGCTTCTTCCCGGACTCGTCGGCGATGGGATTCAGGTTCTGAAGCGGGCGTTCTGCCCCGCAAGGTGGTGAGAACCAAATATTTCTCGGCCTCTTCTCTTTGAGTACCTTCAGAAGCTTCTCGGCCCCGGTGCGCGTAGAGAAGTCATAGCCGTTCCAGTCACTGAATCTTTCGGCCTTGCCACCTAGCTCCATCGCCGCCTTCGATAGCCTTGAGTCCGCTACACAAGCCACCTCTGCCAAGTCGAGTCGCTCGTAGTTCTCTGCTGCGTCCCAGGCCAACTTCGGCATATGATTCAGCGCTGTTACAGCTGCTAACAGAGCACTCCACATCTTCGGCTTCACACTACGTGAAAGTCCCCGAACGGCCTCGGCATCCCTGACGGCGTCGGCAGATCCTCTGGCACTGGAATGTTCCCGACGTCCTTGACGCAGCTGCTGCTGCTGGCCATCTCGGGCATCCCAAACCTCTCGCTGGCCCTGGGCTTCTCCACGGTCTCTTCCTCCATCTTGAACAGGTTGTAGTCCACATCCGTCTTGCCGTCGAGACCTGGCGTGTCGATGAGGCCCTTCTGGATGATCTCCTTGGCCAGCTTGGCGTGCCCCTCGTTCCTGATGGCCTGCCTCTCGTTCTCGATGATCTGCTGCACCTCGGTGTCCGTCAGCTTCCTGATGACCTCTGCTGACAGCCGACTTGGAAGTGATCTGGCCGAAGTAGGCGTAGGCGCTCCGGTCGTTGGCTTCTCCGTCTCTGTCTCTGCGCTGCTCGATGATGAGTTCCATGTAGGGTTGCACGATGGTCGCGGCGGTGCCTGAGCACGCCCCGTCGCCTCCAGCCTCTGGAAGTTCTCGCGGGACTGGATACAGAGAGCCAACTGCTCGTTCTGCACCCGACTGAATATGCTTTTGAAGAGAATCTCTCCACAGTCCCTGCATTTGACTTGTTCCATGAAAGCGTTCGTCCCCTGGCGGGTCTGGTTGCGACGACCGCATGACCTGGTCATAGACTGCCCCGGCGAGGAGACCGGCGTCGGGGGGCTCTGGCTGTAAACGTTGAGCCCGAGCCGAAACGCACTTCGGAAAGACCGATATGCCTACCCAGCGATATACTTCTACTTGGCGAGCGTGTGCGAGATTTTTGAAAGCGATCGAGAAGTGATACCCGTTCACCGTTTTCTCGAATAATATAGGCAAGCCGATCCCCAAGAAGTCCTTTTCGACATGTTCTCTCCGAAATCTCGGGGGCCACACCGTTGGAATCGAACTCTCCGGTGTATACGGCACAAGAAACCCGAAGACGATACCCGTCTATCTTTAGCTGTTTTCTTTCCTTCGATCCAATTGGCGGTTTTTGCGAGGTAGCTAAGAATGGGATTCAGCATTTCCTCACATAACTTCGGGAATTGATTTCTCAGGTTGAGGCTCAAGTCTAAAAGCTGCAGGAGTTCTCTTGGGAGGTCCTCAGCGTCATTTGGGCCCCTGGAGGTGGCGACGGTGGGGGGCGGCTTTTCCACGGTCTCCACGCCACGACCAGGGTGCTGCCCCTATTCGCGGCTCGACCTAGACCTCTGCTGACCAAGGTCGGTCAGGCTGATAGCTAAGTGCCCGGATGCGAGCACCTTCGTGGTCAGCTCCTTCCCCAGCTTATGCGAGTAGACTGAGTTCCTCCCGTAGTCGATCACTAGCCCATATTTCTTCAGCATGTCGATGCCCAGGAGAACAGGCGAAGGCCGATCCAACACGTAGACCCTCCAGCGAACGAGAATCCCAGGTTCTGGTCCACGTCGACCTCCATGGGCTTCTCGAGCTTCTCGTTGATGTACTCCAGCTGCTCGACGCCTCCTACAGACCGCGAGGCGCCTCCGTCCAGAAGTGCGTAGCCCTTGCACTCCTCTAGGCTGAACCCCACGAAGTCGTACTCCTCTTCCTGGTCGTCATTCGCGGCCCCGATGAGCTCCGTCGGATCGTTCTCGTAGAGAGCCCCCGCGAAGCTGGTGAATGCTCGGCGTCGGTCTCCAGCTGTTCCTGCGCTGCTCCGATTGGGGCAATCCTTGGCTCGGTGTCCTCGCCCCCCACAGAGAAGACACGTGTCGCGGTCAATGGTCCTCTGGTTCGCCGTCGTGTTCTTCGTGTTGTCCTGCGCAGTGCCCTTGCCTTTGGGCTTGCTCTTCGGTCGGTTCCTTCCCTTGCCTTTGCCCTTCCGTGGAGGCCCCCCACGGCTGACCGCGCGCCCACGTCCGGCACCAGGTTGCCCCGGTAGTGCGTCGTAGGCTCCAAGCCCTACCACCGGGAAGAAGCCCCTCGCGTTCTTCACTTCGTTGATAAACTGACGTGCTTCTTGGAACGTTCTGGACGCGGCATAGGCGGCCCCCGTCAAGTCGTCGAAGTCCCCGCTTTCGTTGGGCAACACGGCGGCTGCCAGTCCATCCCCACCTGCTTCTTGTTCAGCTCGTTCTCCTGTGTCCGCGCCCGCGCAGGAGATCAGGTCCTCTGCGGCTGTCATCGCTGTCTCGGTCAGGTCGCTGGCCTCCCCGAAGCCGTCTTTCCAGGCCTCCTCGTAGACCTCCTCCGCGCAGGCCGCCAGCTCATCGGAGTCCTCGAAGATGGCATGAACTCCTCCACGAGCTTTGTAACCTTTTTGTCGATCTCGCGCCGCCAGTTGTTCGTCTGACCACTGCTTTGCCAGCGCCTTCTTCCCGTCATTGTACATGTATGAAATGCCACGTGCTCCTGATGTCGCCAGCACAGCTGCCTGCCTGCTCTGATGGATCTAGGCCTGTCCCATCCAAGAGAATCAGTCCCAAGATAAATTCGTGCATGAAGATGTCGTCACATACTGCATGGAGGGCCTTCCCGATCTTGCTCAGGTGGATGTCAAATATCGAAACCTATCTTTTTGGACCTTCTTCCGGGTTTCGGTAAACTCCGTTCACGAACTCTCTCCACTTCGCAACTGCCTCCTGCATGGTGACCGTACCTCTGATGCCCTTCAGCGCTGATACCACCTGTTCGGCTCCGTCCTCTTTGATCAAATCCTCTGTTGCGACCTTCTTGGCCTCATGCCATTGCTGTGAGTCCTCATCCATGGCCTGCAATAGTCACGGCCCCAGGTATATGCGTTCCTCCTTGATGTGCCCAGGACCCACAGTTTGGCCTTCTCCTCGAAACTCTCGAGAGTGGATGCTTCTCCATTCCACGTCGGTATTTTTAGGCCGCCTCCACTCTCATTTGCCATCTTGAACTTGGAGATCGAGTTATGACTCTCGAAGTGGGCTGCCACTTGGTCTCGCTACCAATGTCAGTGGAGCGTGCTATTCCACGGATCTCAGCCTTTCCCTTCGAGATGTCCTCACAATCTGAAAAGGGCCTGAACCTACGTCCACGAACGTGTCCTAAAGACGAGTCCAGGATGCTCTCAGGGTCGGCGGAGGGCACGTAGTGGCGGAAGATTGGCGGGATGGCGAGAAGAGGAAATAGATACTCCGTTCAATAATCAATCCAGGGTATCGCGTCTGGTCCCCCTGAGCTCCGGACCGAGGTGAGATACTGTAAATCACCACACAGGTCAGCAAACAGCTTGCGCCAAAGTTGCTATGGACGAAACAGGCAAATGGGCTCATTCACTGAGGGTTGTTCTCCCTCTCTGTTCTTACTGCACCTGTTTCACTGCTCTCCCACTGAAACTGACACCCCCCCCTCCCCCTTCGAAAACCGGGGGGGGTCACTACCGGTTGTAACCCCTCCCCCCCCCTCTCCGGATCCGGAAAACCGGGGGGGGTCACTACCGGTTCGATGCCCCCCCCCCCCTCGAAAACCGGAGGGGGGTCACTACCGGTTCGACCCCCCCCCCAACGCACCGCCAGCAAACAACTCCCGGTCCCTACCACCGTCCGCATCACATCCCCCACTGTTGTTCCCAGCACCACTGTCCTCACCACCACTGTCCCCACTGGTTCCACCACCGTCCTTACTGTCCCCACCAGTGCCCCCACCACTGTCGCACTGTCCCCACTGTCCCCACCACTGTTCCCACCACGGTTCCACTTTCCCCACTGTCTCCACGGCCCCAACCACTGCCCGACTATCCCCAGTCCCCACTGTTCCACTGACTCCTCCGCTGTCCCACTGAGCTGTCCCACTGTTCCCACCACTGTCCCCACTGTCCCCACCACTGTCCCCACTGTACCTCTGTCCCATTGTCCCACCGCCGTCCTCGCCACCGCCTTCACCACTGTCCCCACCACCATTGTACCCTCCATTGTCCCACTGTTTCCACCTCATTCCCACTGTCCCCACACCACTGTCCCCACCACCACCGTCCCCACCACTGTCCACTGTCCCCCCTGTTCCCACCATTGTCCCCACCACTGTCCCCACCACTACCGTCCCCACCACTGTCCCACTGTCCCACTGTCCCCACCACTGTCCCGCTGTCCCCTCACCACTGTCCCCACCAACACCGTCCCCACCACTGTCCGCACCCCCACTCGGTTTTCGAGGGGGGGGGGTTCGAACCGGTAGTGACCCCCCCGGTTTTCGGGGGGGGGGGGGGTTCGAACCGGTAGTGACCCCCCCCCTTTTCATGATGAACTGGGGGGGGGGGGGAGGGGTTCGAACCGGTAGTGACCCCTCCCGGTTTTCCGGAGGGGGGGGGAGGGGTTCGAACCGGTAGTGACCCCCCCCGGTTTTCCGCCAGCAGCGGTAGAACACACTCTTTCGGATCTGGAGAGACTCGAAGCCCCAATCGGGGTGCCAGAATGGCCCCGGGCATACACCGTGGCCCGTGACCCCTTGTGCCCCGGTCGCCACCCTCATGTTAGGTCGGGCATGTCCCTCTACGGGCGGATCTTGGCAGAAACATGAAAAATAGACAAAAAAATGACCACACAAATAATCAAAATTTGAGAAAATCGTCCCAAAACTATGTTTTGACTATGTTTGAATGTTACTCCTGTAGAGGGACATGCCCGACTTCACCCTCATGGCACCCTGCTAGGACTGCAGGGCTGGGCTGACCCGCGCGAGGCCACTGGCCTCGCGCACCGGAGCCTTCTTCTCCATCGGCAGCTGCGTCGAACTGGCTGCTGTCGCCGAGGGCGGGGAAGAGGAGGATGCTGCAGCTGGGGAGCAGGAGGAGGAGGAGGAGGAGGAGGAGGAGGGGGAGGAGGAGGAGGAGGAGGAGGAGGAGGAGGAGGAGGAGGAGGAGGAGGCGGGCGTGAGGGAAGGGGAGGACGTGGAGGAGCGGGGGACAGGAGGCTGGAGAAAGCTAGGGAGGAGGAGGAAGAAAACCCATCTGGCCTCTGCTGGGCCGGGTCGACCCGATCCTCGGGTGCGATCGATCGCGGCTCGCGCGATCGATCGCGGTCGGCAGCCCAGGAGGCCGGGCCGACGCGCGTTTTGCCATGCGTTCGGGCCAGGACGGCCGAAAGAGCAAGGAGTGACGAAGAACATGGTGGTATAACCAGACCGTGTCAGACCCGAGCAACCAAATCGTTCGAGGCACATGGTAAACACCCAACGGCCCCCTCTGGGATCCCAGCCTGGCCCCGAAGCTCCCTCGTCTTGATTTCGCCGAGAGAAGAAAAACTGATGGCCCAAGAGAGCCCGATGAGGCCCGCCATGCAAGGCTCCCAAAGAACGTAGACGGCTTCACAGGCCCTATGAGGGTCCTAAGAAGCTCCATGAAGGCCTTCCCGACGGCCCTTGCATTGGAAAAAAGCATCAGGTACCTCCTGAAATCCTGAATATGAGAAACCATATGCGGAGAGGTGAAGATAGTTAGAATAATGTGAAACATGTTTGGGGTAGAGGGGAGAGGAGACTAGCCGGAAGTGGAGCTGACTGTGGG